ACCTTGGAACCTCAACCTTTGGGGGGTCAAACCTTGGAGCCTCAACCCTTGGACCTCAACCTTTGCGACTCCAACCTTGGACCCTCAACCTTTGGGGGGTCAAACCTTGGAGCCTCAACCTTTGGGGTGCAACTTTGGGACCTCAACCTTTGGGGGTCCAACCTTCGAACCTCAACCTTTGGGGGTCCAACCTTGGAACCTCAGGTTTTGGAACCTCAACCTTTGGGACCTCAACCTTTGGAACCTCATACTTTGGGGGTTCAACCTTGGAACCTCAACCTTTGGGGGGTCCAACCTTAGAACCTCAACCTTTGGGGGGTCAAACCTTGGAGCCGTAACCTTTGGGGTGCAACCCCAAACCCATGGTGACGACCCGAGCAATCTCTAGGTTGAACGTTTACGTTTCAAGTTTCAACTTGACCGTCAAAACTTTGTTTTCGGTACACTGCGGGCTCCCTACCCGGGAGGTCCCGGGTTCGAGTCCTCCCTGCGCCGTCTTTGGGCGGTCCTCGCCAGTGGTTCGCCACAGCACGAATCCCCACCTTGGATTTCCAGGTTTGCAGCCTGGACAGCTTTGGTCCCAAACCTTGCGTTGCTGCCTGGAAAGCTCGACCCTCACCTTGGGCATCCAGTTTGGAAGGCTGGGCAGTTTCAATCCTGACGACTGAGCTCGATCGGGTGCCTCTTAGCTTCCCCACTTGCTTTCGCGCGTGGGTACTGGACCTGTCCACCGCGTTGAGGTGGGCACCCCTCGGACAGGAAAAAATCTGCGTATTTTGGGCGCCGCAGCCCGCCCCAACGGAGTACACGACGTGCTCGGACACCTGCGGCGTCGTGCGTCGGCCCGCGTTTGCTGCGACGAGCGCCTGATCCTGTGCTGTTGTTTCTTCGCCTGCGGCGCGGCGCCATGTGGTGTGCACGCAACCCTGACTTGAGCCAAGGCACGCATCCACAAGTAGCAGGCTGCACCACTGGGCAAGACAAAAAGTCGACCTTTGACCTACTGCCCTACTAAGCAAAAAAAAACTTCTTTTGGCGGCGCCTCCAGCCCGGCTTGCCCATGCGGTCACACGCGGGCAGGGGTGAAATGGTCTGGGGTCAAGTTGCCCCCCAGGAGCAAGTCTTTGCCAAAGCTGACTCTGCTCATGCCTGTGTAGGCAGCTCCGGGTACATGGGGCACGTCTAGCCATAGGACTGCGTGAGGCTTCCGGCCATCTTCAACACCGTGCGGCGTAGCCCGGTCGCACCGGTAGGCCTTGTTGCCAAATCTTGTGTCTGTCCAAGGACGGATTGCCAGCCTGTGCATTGACTCAGTCACGCATATCAAGGCTCGGCAACTGCGGTCGTAGTTTTCGACCGTGCAGCGCATTCCGTTGATGTAGTCCCGGTCTTTGTCCACATTTTTCGTGACATACAGCTTCATTCCGACGTAGCATGGCACGTGCAGAGGCACGCAAGCACTGGCCGGCTTCAACTTCCCTTCCGCATCATAGTTGGCAGGGTTCGACTCCATGTCCCCCTGCAGAATGCAAACCGGGTCCATGCCACTGAAAAAAGCTTCCACCGCCAGCTCGTTCAGAGTCTGCGCCCCTTGGCGCGTGATTGCCATCATGGTGGTTTCAGGGTGCTTGGACAGAAGCTGGTGGACGTCCTGCACCTTGGGGCAGTGGCCGCGCCACGCGCGGCGGCCTCGCATGAGCTGAGGCACTGTCAACGTGCCTGCCGGCCCTGTGGCCGTAGGCTTCGCCGTTCGCAGCACACCCAAGACCTTTGCGAACTCTGGGTCCTTGCAGCGGTAGATTGCGTGCAAGACCGTGCTGTGCACCCCGCGCCGCCAAGTTGGTGTGTGCCACACCCGTTCGTCGCCGAACCCCGCTGTTTGGCAACGGTCTCCGAGGAGCCCGATGGCCGCAGCCTTGTCTATCGCGTTGCGCAACTCATCCAAATGGTGCAAATCTTGTCCGCGCAACTGGGAAAACTCGTCCACGATGACTAGGGTGTATAGGGGGCCAGATTCCACTTGCTGTCCAGAAGCTCCAGGTCCAACCCAAAGGCGCTGTGGCACGTCTCCACAGTGACGGCTTCCGAGACTTGTGCCCGGGTGCGGGCAGCCAACTGTGCGGTGTACACCGCCCACAGTACGGACAGGCCTTGCTCCACTGCCTCTTGCGCCAAAGCTTTGGCCACGGTGGTCTTGCCGCTACCAGGGGGGCCCTCGAGCGCCCGGATTTTGTTTTGTTGCCAACAAATGTTTCTTGCTTGGTCCAGATGCCCTTCTTCGGCGGCCGCGTGGGCGTCCACGGCCCGCTGCAGGTCCTGTTCCATCAAGCTCTTCCAGCGCAGCTGCTCTTGGTTCCACGCTTGTCTGGCTGTAGGCTGGGACTGCACGGGCGCCAGCCAAAAAGCCACCACACCATATTGCTTTTCGCCAAGCGCATACCCAGGGAAGGCTAGGTAGGTCTGCCGCGCCTCAGAGAAGTCCTCGGCGTCGGGCAAAGCGTTCGCATAGCCCACGGCGGCGAGCATGGCTTCAAAGCTCTCGTACTGAGTACTGCTCCTTGGCTTCCACTTGTGCCCGTGTGTGGCCCAGTTGCAGCCGATCGCCCACTTGCACTCGCGCGGCCGCTCCGCGATGCAACCGAGCTTCCACGGTCTTGCGCCCTGAGGCGATCAATTCTGCATAGTGCTTCTTGATGGGGAGTGTGTGCAAGGTCTTGTCAGGTCCTTCAGCGATCACTTGTTCTCGTGTTGGCTTCGACAAAGTGCCTGCCAAATATTGCCGCACCAAGTGAAGTTGTGCCTCCACGTGCGTCAGGACCATCTGACGATGGAGCTGCCCGTTGCCCTCGATCTTCATGTCTTCGTCGATGGTCGCGAGGCTGCTCCACGTGCGCTGTGCCTTGTGGTGCGCGCAAGCCACGCACATGGCCAAGTATCGGTCGGTGTCTGGCACACGGTCGGCCAAGTCGCCTAACCCGAAGGCTGTCATCGGCGAACGAAAGGGGACGTGGAGCACGAGCCACTGACCATAAAAGGCATCTTTCAAGCGCGAGCCCATGGTGCAAGCGAGGATCTTCTCGCCTTCCATGTCACACGCATTTGCAAAGTCCACCAAAGATCCGGGGCTGCCTGCAGCCTTCCACTTGTCCGTGACCCACCCGGAAATGCCGCCTGCCGCTGCCGCTCAAAAAAGAAAAAGCAGACGCGTGAAAATCATGGATGTGGACATGGATTGTCATGGAGAACACGGGGTCTGTTGATTGGGGCATCTATGTGGGCATGAAAAAAGCAGGGACATGCTTCATCAGCTCCAGGCCTTGCTCATTAGACTTTCGCAAAAAATCTATAGAAGGCACATGTCCTCCGAGCGCCACGCGGACGCCATGTAGTTCCGCACTTCCGCGCGCAAGGACGGCTCGTCCGGGACGGGGACCAAGAAGTCCTTGCGGCCTCGGCTCCATGTCGTCACATGCCACTGATGCAGCAGAGAACCGAAAAGTTGCAGAGCCATTTCCGGAACACAAGGGTGGTATCGTAACAGCACGGAGGCAGCCACGGAGTTGGCGTCGGCGTCGTCGTTCAGGAGCTCTTCGTAGAAGGAATCTGAAAATTTGGAGGAGTATTTTGCCATGTAGGCTGCGTAGTTGCTCTGCCCCTCTCCTTCCACCTGCACGTCTTGGTGGTATTTGGTCGCTTCGAGCGTGGGCACAAAGAAGCCTCGGGTCCCGGTGGCATGGTCCGCCTGCGTATGGCGCAGCTCGTACTTGCCAGTGCTGGGGTTGAACCTGCTGGGTCTGGCATGCACGGCCCACGGGGTGCGAGCCTTGTGGTCCGTCTGCGTGGCTCTGGCATAGGCGGCCACGTTCGGCTCCGTCTGCTCCGGCGCAGCGCCTCGAAGATGGGGTATTCCAGCCGGCCTACGTGGTAGCATGCAAACAAAAAACATGTTGGGGTTGCCCTTTGCTGCGTGAACTCATTGGCCCTCAGCTTCTTTTCTTTTTGCGAGGGCAAACACACAAAAAAAAACCGGGGGGCCCACGGGGATCTTAGCAAAACATGCTTTCGAATCGACGCCTGCCAGGCCATCCACGATGCAGCAGTGGTTCGGCGTGCACCATTCGAAGGGGCTTTGCGTCGAGAATACCGGCGGGTAACCCTTTTGTCGGACGAGGTCAACCAGTCCCCGGTGCATGTCTCTCCAGTAGGCAGAGGTAAAGGGGTGCCCTTTCAACAGAAGCCTCATGGGAACTCCCAGATGCAAATTCCGCTTCGATCCGAGCGCTGTCCACAAGTTCAGGTCGAAAGCAAAGTGCAAAAGCTCGTAGGAAAAAGAAAAATCCAGGACAGGGGATAAGACGAGAGCCATGTAGCTTCGCTTTGTGCCCGTCACATCCGCAGCTACCTCCTCCTCTTCGTCGGCTGCCTGCCCCCGGGCTCGTTGCTCCAATGTCGACTTGTGTGAGCCACGGCTTTGCCGGCTGGTAGACTGCAAGCGGGCCCACGTCAAACACATGTCTCTTCGAAGAAACAAGTGCGGCCACAGCGCGCACTCCAGGCCCTCGCCCTCCAGGAAGCGCAGCCATCTTTTGCGCTGGCGCCGGTCGCCTGCGGGTTGGCCTGCAAAAATGCATCATGGGCCTCCCAGTAGTGTCCATACGCAGACTCGCCTGGGCCTGGACCTGAGTGTTCCCAAAGCCATTCCAGCACTCTGTTCGCGAGGGCGGCCGCCGGCCGTGCCAGGGCCTGCACCGCGCTTCCACCGTCTTTTCTGCCCAGGCAAATGTTACCAAAGCGGACTTCACTCTATAGCCATTACCCCGCCCATATTTGTCTCTCGACACCTGGAAAGGCCCAAAGTCGCACTCCACCGGGCGCAGCGCGGCCAGGATCTCGGGAGTCACCTGCTTCACGAAGTCTGCGTGCTCTGGCACTTGGGGTGGTCGCCGCTGGTTTCGGCAGAAGATGCACGCAGACTTCGCCATCCACGGGCTTAGCACTTTCTCCATTCCCTGAGGCGTTAACTCTCGTGGCTGCACAGTTTTGCACTGGGGGCACACACCCCAGGAGTTGAACTCTGCCCACAACTGTAGTGCCGCAGCTTGCTCTGTGCTCCGCGCTCTGGGCAACGGATCCCCGTTGTCCACTTCCTGGCCGCGTGGCAGCCGCTCTGCTGCAATGCCCAGCATGTTCAAGGCCTTCTTGCGGTCTTCGACGACGCGCTCTCTGAAGGCCGTGTTTGTTCGGAGCGGGGCGCCTGCTAGCTGCCTGCTGCAAGGCCATTCCGAAAGAAAAACATGTCCATGTCCTACCACAAACGCCATGCTGCTGTCTACTTTGTGACGGCTTCAGGGGTGCCCAAACAGAACATCATGTCCATGGCCTAACGTGAAAAACATAGTCTCCACCTCTCGGGGATGATTCTGGGCTCTCCAAAATGATACCTACTGCACACACGCCGGGACTGGTCTCTACCGACAGGGTGTTTTTGGAGGTTGGCCCTCTGGTCCGACAAGCCTCATGCCCAGAGCCTCGGCCCACATGGCTCTACCTTTCTCATAGAGTGCTTCCAGAGTGGCCTCGTTGTAGGGAACCTCTGCGCGGGCCAGCTGGTTTTCGTAGGCCGCTACCTGCCGCACTTCAGGGCCCACTTGAGACACCCGCTGCTCTGGCGCGGGCCCTGTGCCTTGTAGCCATTGTCTGAAGCCTGGGTCTGCGACCCGCTGGAGCACTGCAGTTCTTTGCTCCGCCGACAGACGCGCGAAGCGCTTCTTCAGAGCCAGGCTTGCCGGCCCATCCAAAAAGGCATCGTTGAGGCGCTGCGGGTCGCAAAAAATGCACGTCGCCGGGCCATGGGGTTGGGCTGCCTGCCCGTTCGCTACGGAAGTAACACTTGCTTAGCGCTGTGAGTCATTGACGACGAGGGCACCCAGCCGAGGACCTCTTCGGGACACGCACCGCACCGGCCACGCTGTTCAGGGCCCGAAAAAATCAGGTTACGTCTGTTTGGCAACATCACTAGGACCCTGCTTCGAAAAGTAAGCTTTTGTTGTCCAAATCACACAAACTGAACACATGCCAGCCTTTTCGGGGGTGGCCGGAACGGGTTCGTTCGCCCGGAACCCGCCGTGGTCCACTGACCTGGGCGCCTCTAGGCCACGGAAGACTCAACGTTCGCAGCCCACTCAGGAGGCTAGGGCCAAGCCGAGGTCGAGGTCTTCCTCCACCTCGTCTTCCTCATCTTCTTCCTCTCCTGCCCCTTCGCCCACGGGCTCCGCTTCGGTCACGCCCACGGCCGAGCCGAGGTCTTCCTGCCCCTTGTCTTCCTCGTCTTCTTCGTCTCCTGCGTCTTCGCCCGCAGGCACTTCTTCCAGCACCTCCTGCTCGGCAAAAAGTAAATGCCCGTATGTGCCGCGCGTAGCGGCCATGCCCACGGCAATTGCTTTGGACAGGTCAGATTGCCATGTGTGTGCTTTTTGTTTGAGGTATTTCACAGGCGCTGGAAGGCTGAGGAGTGCACGGATTGTTGGGCCGAGTAGGTCCAAAATGGTGTGTAGGTCCGCAGACTTTGGATTTGCCGCGTTGCACACGGTCACAAGGGCCTTCACAAAAGCACCCAGCTGCCCCGCCGGAAAGAGGCGGCTGAAAAAATAAGCTTCCTTCCGGAGCAGCGCCTCATACACTGCTGTGGGGACATCGTCCCCTTTCAGTTGGTTGACCAAACTGTCCACTTCTTCGGTCTTCTGGTCCTGCGGGAACTTGAGGCTTGTGTAAGCTACGAGGAATAACCCTCCCTGCTTCAAGTCCTCGGCCATGCCAAAGCCGAACTTTTGCTGCTCCAACGCAGCCACGAAGCCCACCGCTTCCTCTGCCTGCTCTGCGCTGGGGTCACCGCTGGCCAAGAAAGCTTCGAACTTGGCCAAGCCAGCTTCTTGCTCTTTGCGCGCTCGCTGTCCGAGCGTGAGCACGGCCCCTGGAGACTTCTGCAAGCTCAGTCCTGCCGGTGCGGCAGCTGCGGCCTTCCTCTGCGGCGTCACGGGGCTCCCTGCCTTCGAGGCCGTCTTTGCCAACTTCGACGGCGGTGCCACAGTACTCTCGGGCACGGAGCGCTTCTGCTGAAAGAGCCCCGGCGCCGAGCCTGCCGTGTATTCGCAAAACTAAACATTCTCGTTTCTTCCACAGGGAGTGTATATATAATGCCTTTACCTTGGAAAATACTAGACACCAAATACCAAAAATATGCCACACGTTTGTTTTTTCGGACCATACCCTCCATTGGCACAGCTTGGCTGTTTGAACAAAAATGTGTATCTCTAGGATGTTGTGTTTCGATCCATAACATGGTGAGTGAATCTGGCGCTGCAAGAATAGTGCTGCGTGGCTCAAGCCATGTGGACCCGACTCTATCCGGACTCTAGCCTGCAATCCTTTTCCACGCACCAGTACCGGGTATCCTTCTTTGAATTTGTTCTTCATCTTTGAGGTGGCCTGAACAATGGTTTTAGGGCAGCAAACCCCTGGCCCCAGGCCACCTTGAATTTCGGTTGAAAAAAACATTCTGCTTAATGTCTTTTTCTGGCCACACATAGATAATTCCCATCCACATTCAGATGATGCCAAAGCCAAAAAATGCATTCTTGCGTCACCGCCCGCTTTAAAAGCATCAAAGCATCACCTACCAGAGTTTACGTATATCTTTCTCGGGCCACCTCCCTCAGACGCCCAACCTACTCACTTCGTTCGCCAAGCGCAACTCAGCTTTGAGGTGGCCTGAACATGGTGTTTGAGGGCAGCAAACCCCTGGTCCCAGGCCACCTTGAAGTTTGCACGAAAACCCTTCTACTTAAACGAATGCACTTCCTCAGGTGATCGAATCTGGAAGCCTTGAAGCCTTGTCCGATATACACCCAAGGACCCTCGCTTCACATATCTTCATTTTTGAGGTGGCCTGAGCGTGGTGTTTTAGGGCAGCAAACCCCTGGCCCCAGGCCACCTTGCATTTAGCTTGGTAAACATTCGCCCGCGCGGACCCAACATCGACCTTGTTGTAGCGACAATTTTTTTAAGGCGCGGCCTCTTGGCCATGCGCAGGCATCACCCGAGGCCTCCAACCACATCCTCTAAACTGTAGCTACCCAGGGTCCGTCTAAATGCTATTGCGCTATACCTCTGCACCGCTGTCTTCTGTGCTATACCTCTATTCTCCGCGCCCTGGGGAGCTACCGCTGCACAATCTCTGTGTCTCTTTACACAAAATGCCAGGTTACACAGAAAGACGGGCTTGCGATCAAACATTCTATGATCCAGTGCTCCAATGATGTTGCACTTTTTCCTCTCAAGTCTCATTAGTGCTCTAAACTTGGGTATGTCGGAAGCGTAACACAATAGCATTTATACGGGCCCCAGGTAACTACAATTCAGTTGCATGGTATAACACTTCCATGGTATAAATGCATATAGCGTTTATAATTGCTCTCCTTCTGAAAGATGTTATTCACTCACAGCTGGCGTAATTTACTAAAACCACTTCCCTCTGTGCACAAGAGGCATTTTCTGACTGCCAACTGGACCAAAGCGAAGCATGATCCAGCAGTCGGGTGGTTCATGCTTCAACTTGTCCACCACAAAACCGCAATGGTGCTAGTGATGTTGCTTCTGCCCGCTGCCCTTTTCCGCATTTCTGGATGCCTTCCTAGGCAGCCTCTTTTTGATACGTTTGTTCCGGCCCACATTCTTGTGACACAAACTTCAAGGCTAAGGCAGCAATATTTGCAAAATGGGCTTGCCCTCCAACAATTTCTTTTGGTACTTTCTACCAAGTACCAAATCGCGCCTACTTGAGAAACGGAAGCAAACGAAAGAGAAAGGGATTGCGCGACTTAAGGTCTTTGATCGTTGCCCCGGAAATGGTGGAAGAATTGCCTAGAAGCCATTTCTATAGTAGCGGATCCAAACATGAGGAACCCAAACCTCCCTTTGGAAGGTGCTGTTAGACATGCTCCTTTCTACAGACCCTTCTTTGGGTGCGCGCCGCCCACAAGGCCTTCGGTGCCAAGATAAGCAATGGTGGCTGAAGTATTCCAACCAGCAGCCAACGGTATCAAGTCAATTTCTCTCTCTCTCTCTCTGTATATATATATATATGTGTATACAGTAATTGTTAATTGCATAGTTGCAAGCACAAGCTGGGGTGCACATCTCATCTTTGGTCTGTTCGCCCTTGTGACAGCTGCGAACAAACTCCGCGTGGTTACAGGAAGATGGTGTTAATGCGTCGCCAAAGCTGGAGCAGAAAAGACTCATCAGTATGTTTTGCAGAATTCTCTGATTGCCAGAAATTAGCATGTCTCGAAAAAAACTGGCCACAACATCGCATATCAAGCCGTGGTGTCATGGCTGTTTGTCCTACACTGTGTGTAGGATGGAGCTGACTTCAACAACTTGCATATTTCATGTTTTTGATTTAAACCAACTCTTGCCCCAAACTTCATCGCGTCATGGTCAATTTGCGCTGCAAGACATTACTATCCTCTGATGTAATCTGATATATATATATGTTTATTTATATATATATATATATTGACGCATATGCCCTTCCATTGTGCTTGAAGCTTCTTTGTCAACCGTTTCTTTGACACATCTAGTTTCAATTTAGCAATTCTACTCTGATTTTCAGTTGCCAACCTCCAAAGAAAACGCTCTATAGATTCTTTGGACGAGGGTTCTACCCGGAAAATGCTCATGTCAGCTGCTATGGGCCCTACCAGAAACGGTGTAACCGTGAAGACTGAATTCATGTCCTGATGGAAAAGAAACATCTGCTTTTCAAGCGCATCTTCTCTTGCATCCTCTTTGTACCTGGCTTGCCTCCCTAAAACCTCTCTCTTGCCCAGCCCCATCTCAAATCATGCGTCGGCAAGCCCAGCAAGCCCTCCTGCTCTCAACAATGTGAAGGCCTGCTTTCTCAAGTCTTGTCTTCGAACCCTTTCAGTTTCTCAACCATGGAGATTGCATGACCATTTGCATTTGGATTGGCTTTCGGGCTCGTTTGTGGACATAAACCCCTTGTGGATGATCACCCCATAGTTTGAATTGCCTGGCATTCAAGGAAACGTCGCATGTGTTCTCATAGCATGGCAAGGCAAACACCAGTCATCAAACCTTTTTGGCGCAACAAAAGCATGCTTAAACTTAAACATGATGATTCGCCTCTTTTGTCTGACTCCTGTTGCGCACAAACCTCCACCAGGGAAGTTCCTGGCTACCCTTGCTTCGCTTCAAACCTCTTCTTGCCAGTCTTCTCTGGCAGTGGAGGGTTGGGGTCTTTAAAAATGCCTCATGGCAGCGTCCGTGCCAGCATGCAAATGATTGGAGGAACTATTTATCAAGCGCTTATGCAACGCTCCCTGGGGCCCTTGCCAATGATGTTGTCAAAAGGATCAGGCCCTGCTGCGCCAAAGTTAATTGGATCATCAACGACTTCTGCTTGTCCTGGGACAAATTCAATCCAAACAATGAAGATCCCAAACCATGTCACACCCAAGGCAAGAATTTCAACAAGAGCCCTAGAATGAATTTGCACGAGATTCATCTCTCTCAAATGGCCTCACGCACTTCAACCTCAAACTGACTCAAACTGTGACGAACCAGCCTTCAAAGAACTCTTCCTCTGGACAGCTTACCTCACAATGTTTTCTCTGCTGATTGTGCATGCTCACATCTATATGATTGCATACATGTTTCGCATCGAGGCGCAGATCGAAGGGTTCCCTTTTTCAACAATGCATCTTTCAAAGCTCGATAAGTTGCCGGGTACCTTGGCTGCGTGGTTTTGCCCCCAATGATTCCATAGGCAGGTGTGTTGCAAGCAACACAATAAAGAAAAACACCAGGGGGGACCAGAATCGAATGTAGTTCAGACGGCGTGCTTTGTCCCCACGTCATCATGAAACTGGTGGTAGAGTTCTGCTTGGTAGAATGGAAAGAGATCCGAATCGTAGATCCTTAGCTTCTAAGTTCCAAGGATGACAGGGACATATGAATACACAAAGGATTCACGCAACCTCTTGCAGAAATCACCAAAACACACTTTCAGCTCCGGTTCCAAACCACTTGTGTGTCAGCCTCGGGACTTCAAGGACATTGAAATCTTTGGCGCTGCTGGTGAATGTGGTTCAACACACACATGCATCATCCGCCGACCCCAGCCGATTGTGGGGGAGCGTGCCAGAGGACACTGCGCAAGAAATCGGTGACAAACAGACAGACAGACAAACATACAGACAGACCCCAGCTGATGGCGGGGCGGCGTGATTTGACCAGTGAGGAGCACCAAAAAAACACCAGCTTCGACGTCGGGGTGAGGGATCAAAAGAATAAAGCGATCAGCATTAAATCCTATTCAAGAGGGATCGAAAAAAGAACAGGACCAACAAACAATCTTTACAGCGAAAAAAAAGAGAAAGGGGAAAGGACAGTAGTAACATTTGGTGGTGGCCGACGATCATCCGTCCAAGTGGCGAAGCGGTCGGCATCGCCTCGTTCATCCTTCCTCCGCCATTGAAGTCGTGGCCTTTTGTCAATGTCATTTGCACCAGCTGATGATGATGAAGCGCGCTTGCGTGGCAACGGCTGCCCTGTTACAGGCGCATTAGGGCTAGGAGCGTCGCGTTGACCGAATTCAAGAAGTAAAAATCTTCTAGCCTCTGAATCTCGTCATCATCAATGTCTTGTCCCGCGTCTGCAAACTTTTTGGCAAAGATGTTGACATTTGTTGTTCAACGGTCGTGAGTCCAAAATCTGCAACGGCTTTCCCGTGGTCACGTTGCTGCGCATTGAGAGATTGCTGTGCATTCCCCTGATACTGAGCCAATGCATATTGCTCGTTCTCCTATGCAAACTCTTGCGATAAATTGCCGGAATATCCCCCTTCAGGATTCGTTTACTGCGAATGTCACCAACAACATTCTCAGTTGGAATGAAGCCTTTAATTTTGACTTCACTGCAGCTATTGCCAGTTAGGGCAGCAAATTGACGAAGCGATAGGACTTGTAGCTGATAAGACAAATTCATTGAGTCACGCGTAGAAACAAGTGTGCAGGTTGTCGACGCCACATCGAATGAACGCGAGCTTGGCCAAGTCCTTGCGGTCCTCGGGGTCGAGCTCACTGATCATGGATTTTCCCTTTGCACGTTGCTTTGCGTTGCGCATTGGGGCCGGCAGTGGCATTGACGCAAAGAGGTCCTCCTGTGCGGCGTCAATCTTTGTACAACCCTCGCTGGTTAAGCAGACTGCGAAGTCATCGTCGCGGTTGAAGCGGTCATAGACATTCTCGTAGCCCTTTTTCATCACCATTTCCACGACGAGGGGGTCGACCTGGCTGTGAATCTTGTCCAGCGATACTGCTTAGCTGCTATAAGCATGCTTTCTGAGGTCATGTGTTTTGCGACGCCCCCCTCATCCTTGACAGTCTGCGCCCATCGCATCTGCAAACGCATGAATTTGGAAACAAGTCCATCTGTCTTTGCACTCTGGATTACTGCACCGCGTCGATAACATGACGCCATTCCGGCTAGGGAAAGCGTTGCGCAATGAGGGCAACCAAAAGTCCGAAGGTGAAGAAAATATCCGCTTTCAATCTGTCCAGGCTCTGTACGACCAGTAGCCTCCATCTCCTCCTTCTTGACTGCGCTCTGTTGCGCAGTGCGCTCTTCTGGCGTGTTATCAAAATATCCACTGTCGCGACCTCTTCCTTGACATCTCCCCGGATGAGTTCGACTTCATCCTGTTTGGTGTCGGGCTCAATCCTCGCTGGATCGGCTGCCATGGGTCTTGGGTAGAAGACTTCTGGCTCCGCGTTTAGGCGAGCTTTGGTTGCGAACAGAATACATGTATTTGGGCACATGGTGGCTTGTAATCGCTGCGTTTGAACGTGTCAAGAACAAATCAACTCCCGCCTCGATCATCTCGGCCGTGGAGAAGCAAAGTTCGACAGGGCGATCTGCACGAAGTCCTGACACCGCCTTCCGGTTTCCCAGAGGTGCGATTGAAAAGAATGAGTTTCCTTTGGACTTCTTATCCCTCTTGCCGCCACCTGGCAAGAGACCGATCGCGCCGGCTCCTCGTAGGTCCGATGGTGCAACCGAGGTGGAATATCCTGGTTGCCGTGTGCGACGAGACTCTGTCGATATCGATGAGCGTGATCGGGTCGGCAAAATGTAATTTTGCAAGTACAGTACTTCATTTGATCTCGTCTCCAAAACATCATCAGTATGTCCTTGTCCACAACGGATCTTGACTGGCCTCAAAAAACTGAAGCGATTCGTTCACAATTGAATCGGATACACGTAGGAGTTCAAATCGATCTTTGTCATCATATATTCCCAGAGGAGCGAATCGTAGGAATAAACCCCAGATGGGAGATAGGG